CCTAGTTCCTAGGATTTTCAGTAAAAACTAGCAATTAGTTATGGGGATAACAAAATGCTATTCATGCATTCCAATAGAATGGTCCCAGCATCCCTTGCTGACACAGATGGCAGCCCCACTTGCTTGTCGCAGGCCCTACAGTGGGGCGGGAAGGGTCTCGGACGCAGCACTCCCCCACCTTGGGGAAGCTCTCTGGAACTCCAACAGTCCTCCGTCAGCCACTTCAGATTAAGAGACTAGGAAGCAGTACGAACTATGGACAAAATCTAGGAATTACTACTTTTTAAGAAAACCTATATGCATTCTTAAGGATGTCCTTGAAAGATCAATCCTTTTCTCCCTAGCCAGAGATGTGGGTCAGGCTGGGCGAGGCAAAGAGCCTCCCTGGGCATCCAGGTTGACCAGAAGGCAACTGTTTCTCACCACTGGACCAGGAAGTTACAAAACCAATCAAAATCTTCTCCTAGGACTCATGAATGGTTTCGTTTTTCTCAGCAGACTGTTATTTAAGTGATTGACCTGATTCAACCAAAGAATCAGACAGATGTTTTCCATGGTGTGTGTTTCAAACCTAGAACAGGCTGACATAGGAGCAGTATGTACTGATGATGGGCAGATACTTAGATCCAGGATCATAAAACGGAGCCTTCAAATCTGAGAGGCTGCGTGTTCTCTCTTTTCATTTCTATAAAGATCAATCTGCTGCAGGATTGTGTGCCAGGGGCACATCACCTCAGCTGATGCTAGCAAGACGTTAGCCTGCTGAGCCTTACCTGAATAACAAAGTCTCTGCCCCGGAAGTCAGCAATGGTCCTGGGCAACCTTGTCCGGCCCCACACAAAGCGAAGGAAGAGGGAGCGCTCTGTGTTGGAGAAAGACTCCATTACCTCCCAGAACCACTGGATTAGGGACGCGGAGGGCTCGATTCCTTTGTAGGTTGCCACTGACTTTAGAAGATGCAGTGGGATGTCTGGGCTGCCACATACCTGTGGGAAGAGAAGTAGGAGGGCTGGCTGAACATTTCCCATCACAGCTTCCGTACTACATCCTGCTTTGGGTCCCAGGTGGACCCTAGTGCAACCCTCAAGCTCAGCCTCATGTGGGGGTGAAGAGGGCTCACACACCTTAAGGGTGTTTTCGCTCCATTCCATGCGCATGGGTCTGAGATTTCTAAATACAAGATTTTAAGGAAGAAATCAACCAGGGATACTGATGGGGAGGGCACTATACAGAAGGCTGGCACAGGGTGGGGCCTGCATACCATTGTCTCTAGTTCGTATCCAGTGAACAGAGAAAGAAGGGGCACGGGCACCACGCGGGCCATCCCTTCCCGGACGGCAGCCACCTGCTCATCAAATTCATGGAGTCTGGAAGAAAACAATTTACTTTAGACTTCTTTCTTTGGTGGTGTTGACTTTTGTTCTCCACACAGTATGGCCATCACAGGGTGCCCAGCCCGGAAGGACGGAGAGAGAGGCAACAAATCCATGTTCTTTACGGAGAGAAACGACTCCAAAGCTTTACATAATACTGAGCTCACCTAAACTGGCATACCAAAAATGACTCAACCTAGCTACTCTGCACATACCAAGACTCAAATCTCAGCAATCGTAGCAAACCCAGGAAGGAGCCAGAATCTGACATTGCAGCATCAAAAGTGAACAGTCTAGCTCAGGCCTAATGCACTACACAAATCTGGGGCAGATGCTGTGCTTACAGTTCTTGAAACTAGTTGAGGCTCTGGAGCAGACCCAACACCCATGAGAACCACCTGCAACCAGAGTCCAGCAAGCAAAGCCCATCCGACATGCAGGGCCCGGCCTGAACACTTTGCTACACCCCGGCTGAGCCAGCTGTGGTGCCTTAGACGCATGCTCATTTGGCCCTGCTGGCAGCTGCTTTGCAGAATGCACCTGTCCCAGCCACAGCCCTTAAGAGACCCATCCCCTAAACATCCCCTATTCTAGTGAGACTCAGAAATTCTATGTATAAGAAACACTCAGACATCTGGTCACAAAATATGCTTCATGACCACAGAAAGATCATAATGGGAGCTAGAACCATTAGCATCTTTCCCTCTGGGGGAAAAAAAACCCCAAATAAATTATCTAAACAACGACTTTTGCTATTTATAAAGGCAAAGCATTTGAGGCAGATGATCACAGACCTGTAATTGATTGCCAGGCGGACATACTCTGCACGGTTGTCCAGGGTGATATGTGTGTGCTTGGAGCTGAGCTGGATGTCCTGGCCGCTGGCACTTGGGACAGTGAAAGGTAGGCTCATGGCCTCGAACTCCTCAGAGGTGGCTTCGTTGTCACGGATATACATGAGCCCAGGAATAAAGTCTTTATCGACCTGTCAAGAAGGAAAGGAGTCCGTGTGATGGATCAGGGTTGTTTCTGAATCACAGACCCCAGTCCACCGCCAGCACCCTCAGTCACAGGATCTGCCTCCCCAGGATGCAAGTGTACACGTGCACCAACGCATAAAAGATGGCTACACAACAAAGCATTTTTTCATCACCCAAGAAGCTGGAGAAAGGACTTAGGTGAACAAAAGATCTTAGCCTTAACTGCTGAGAAATAGCTGTAACTGATGAGGGATGGCTGCTTCTCTAAGCCAGGGAAGGGGATGAAAGGCAGAGAGGGCCTGGCTGGGGTTGCCCCATCAGGCCCCTTTCTGCCAGCCCACGGCACTGCCTGGCTTCCCCCACAAGCTCCTGCACAGAGAGGACAGCGAGCCTCCTTTTCCTGCAAGAATACCACCAACTGGATGGAGGTCAAGTTCTAGAGGCCAACTGGAGACCTCTCTTCATGCCTGGCAGGGGATCAGAGGTTAACAGCCCAGTAGAGCTGGAGCAGGCTGTGCCTCTCAACCCTTGCCACCCCTGCCCGACAATCCAGGCGAGTCACCTCACTGAGGTCTGCGATGGTGAGGCTCATCCCAGCCAGCTGCTTCCACACAGGCTCGGCGAGGTTAAGGCTCAGGGGACTTCCGGTTCGGATGGCAATGCCCAGCAACACTCCTGATCATTCCAATCACAGGGACAGAGGGGCTTAGGACAGATGGCAAACTTCTCAGGTTCATTCAAACAAGCCATGAGGTTAGCATTACCCAAACTCTCAGGTCTGAATCTACCATTAAACAGTGTGCCCCAAGCCAGGCGCCGGTGGCTCACACCTGTAATCTGAGCTACTTAGGAGGTTGAGATCTGAGGATCATGGTTCAAAGCCAGCCCAGGCAAGAAAGTCTGGGAGACTCTTATCTCCGACGAACCCCCAGAACCACAAGTAGGGTTGTGGCTCAAAGTAGTAGAGTGTTAGCCTTGAGGGAAGGAGCTCAGGAACAGTGCTCAGGCCCTGAGTTCAAGCCCCATGACTGACTAAACCAAAACAAAAATTATTTTCATTGGTAAAGGTGCTGAAAGTAGGTATTTCTAACATCTACTACCATTTCCAGACAATACACTGAGAGCAGATACTAAGCTAACTTTCGAACTGCTAGTGCAGTGTCAGATAACTGAGAAGACCCACCCAGGAAGCGGAACATGCTGCAGTGCACGGGGGCCCTGGCGGCCGGGTTTAGCAGGTAGCAGTCTCGGTTGGCTCCAGATTCGTCCCTTCCATTTGGAGTCACGATCAGAAGTGGAGTGAGTCCATTCTGCAGCTCCTCACAGATCTCCGCTATGGACTCACTGTAGCCACCCCCGCAGTCATCCACAGATTCACCTGCGGGAACAGAGCGAGCAAACTCCCAAGCTGTCCTCGCCTGTCTGTGGGGATAGCGCTCTGGCAGCTAAGCTGTGCTGGCTCCCTGGGACTTGTGGCTCCTGTGTCTCTCTGCCCACCCCCTCCCAGGAGCCACAGATTCACCAGTGTGTGGCCAGTTCTCACCCACAAACTTGACTTTCCACACGCGGTGAGGGAGGAGGAGGCTGTCGGGGCTGAAAGAGCTCATCTTTGCACACATCTGCCCAAAGACAGACTTGGTACCATCGGGGCCTGCTAAGCCGCCTTTGCTCCTGGAGCGCTTGACCTAGACAGGAGAAAGAACAAAGAGCATGAGACAGCTGTGGTGGTACAAGGCATATTCCACCCATCACCTGCGACACACAGCAGGCCCAGGGCTGGTCGAGGCTGAATAAGCACGTTTCCAAGCAGTCACGTGCATCATGACCCCTGATCACGTGGGGTGCGGGCAGCCGTGTTGCAATTGTGACAACTCTGCCTTGATACGGACCTTCTTATCTTATAACCCGAGTGACGTCACCATCTTCACCGCCACTCACTTCTTCACTACATCATCATAACCTCAAAGGAACAAGACCCTGGACCTCCAAAATCCATCCTCCTTGAGGACTCGTCCCTGTGGTACCTCCTGCAGTTTCTGGCCCAGACTGTGCTTTGGAGGCACTTCGGAAGCTTAGCCTCAAGATGATGAATGACAACTTGAAAAGTTGGAAAAAAAAATGTTTCTAAGACTGTATTTTAGGGCAGGGATGTAGTAGTAAGAGAGCTCATTTAGCATATGCTTAAGGCCATGGGTTCAAATCCCCAGTATTTTTTTTTTTTTTTTTTTTCAGTGTGGACAAAAAAAAATTTTAATATTGATTACTTACTATGGTGTTTCAAACTTTCAAAGTCTTTTCTACATAAGAAAATAGCTGCATCCATTATAGTGTTTCTTACAAAACACAAAAATTAATGATTGATTTTTGTAGTTCTAGTAATAAGTCCTCTCTTATTTCCTCATATAGTATAAATGATCTTCCTTTGCAGGATTGCAGTTAAGACCAGTAGTTCTTAAACATTGTTACCAAATAGCCAAGCATCCCAAAGCAGCAGGTGAACAATCTTCACAGTGCATTTCCACCTCTCTGAAGTTGGAGCTGCTCCTTTTGGATATTTTTCCACTTCAATGTGAAGTAGATTGCTACAAGTTTCATTAGTGGTTTCATTATGTGGCTTTTGAAAGAAAAAGGATTTTGATTTTTTCCCCCCACAGTTCACAGTTCTCAGAAGAGACCTATTTGGGGAAATCATATCGTCCAATGATGTTCAGAATAACCAGATGCTCCTTAGTAGATGAAATCTCTCAATGCAACTGTAATAAATAAGCATCTACATCCTTAGCTATATTACCAGTATATCCTGGAACCAAAGTAAGATGGTTTTCCTGTTCCCACAATCCACTTAATTGTTGTTTTAAAATCTTAATATTTCCATCATTTATAACGTCTGTTTTGGATGACAGTTCTGACCACCACCTTTTTATTACTGCTTGAAGCCAGTTTAGACCAACTATTACATACTCTTCAAATTTGCTTTTAAGTAATGACTTTACTAGAGGCAACAAGTCTACACAGCAGCCAAGTGAGACATACTGCTTTTCTTCCTGCAAACTGTTGGTGAGCACAGGGAGGCAATCTACCACAACTCCAAGATCTTCTATCCTCACTAAGTATGCTACAAGTTCACTTATACTTCTCTTTCTCCAGAACGTTAAAGCTACATTCAACCTCAAATTCCTGCTGAATAAAACTTGAGCCATTGTTTCATGATCCTGAGAAACCTCAGAAAAAAAACCACTAAATTTTGATGATGGGCTTTCTGTTTGTGAAGAACCAGCTTCACTGGAGTTAACCAAGTACGTTCGACTATCATGGTGTGACTTTTCAGGCAGATGGCCTGCACAAGCCAGCTCATTTTCTTTATTTGCCATGTCACAGCCCCCACTTGGAAGGGACTGTCTTTTTCTGTAACAAGGATTTGGGAAGGGATGATAAACTTTTTTTCTGTGATAGATCACTTTACGTAGTTTATCTGGGCTTTTCACAGCTTTTCCCACTGTTCTATTTATGTAAGCAGCCAACTGTTTTGGAGATTTCTTAACCTCCTTCATGTTCTTATTAGTGAAACTGGAGTTCCTTTTTCTAGGAAGATCAATGGGATGACCCTCAATATTACAAAAATTTCGTTTTTTAACATTGTGGGTTTCAGATGCCATAATCCTTTAAATACCGGCGCCTCATGGTGCCGCGACGTCCCAGCCCAGCCCCGCGCCGACGGACGCGCTCGGCAGCCCGGAGCAGCCCTCAGCTCCCGGCCGGGCCCGACTCGCAGCCATTCAAACGCCGCCGCGCCAATCCCCAGTATTTTTATAGCTTTTGTTTTTCTTTCAGAGCTGAGGACCGAACTCAGGGCCTTACGCTCACCAGGCAGGCGCTTTTCCACTGAGCTAAACCCCCAGCCCCAAACCCCCAGTATTTTTATGCTGAGTCTTCCAGGAAAAGTCCTCACTATCTGTAACTCACTTTAGGTGAGTTCTAGGTTGAACTTAAAACAGCAAATTCTCCTTGGAATTAAGACTAACAAGAAAAAGAAGCCAGGCACCAGTAGCTCAAGCCTGTAATCCTACTGACTTGGGAGGTGGAGATGAGGAGGATGTCAATTCAAAGCCAGCCTGGACATACACCTAGGACATGATCTCAGTTGGCAGCAGGACACTGAGACACACCACCTCTCGTTCTAGCTGGGTGGGACATGTGAATAGGCGGAGCATGGCCTAGATATATGCTGAAGTCCTTTTTGAAAAATAACGAAGGCAAAAAAGGTGGAAGGGCTGGATGCTGGTGGCTTATGCCTGTAAGCCTAGCTATTCAAGAGGCTGAGATCTGAGGATCATGGTTCGAAGCCAGGAAAGTCTGTGAGACTCTTATCACCAATAAACTACTCAGAAAGAGCCTGAAGTGGCGATGTGGCTCAAGTGGTAGAGCGCTAGCCTTGAACACAAAGAGGCTTAAGGAGAGTACCCAGGCTCAGAGATCAAGCCCCAGGATCTGCAAAAAAAAAAAAAAAGTTCAGGCCGTGACAGTTTGCATACCTGCCAGCCTTGCCACAGATGTGCACATCCAGGACAGAAATGCTGGTATCCTGTGTTCACCTTGGATTCACCAAATGTTCCCCTACTCCGTGTTAGTTTGGGTCAAAAAAGACTTGTGTGGAGCATTTTCTAGCCTCAGGAGAGGACACAATGTCCTGAGCATTGTGCCGTGAGACACTTGGCTGGGGAGGCTGAGGGCACAGCTGTACCACAGCAGCCCATTTGTTAATCCTCACTGTACACTGGCTGAGCGGAGATTCCCTGCCTCTTTTCTTTTCTTTTTCTTCCTTTTAAAGAACCTACTCTGTTTGCTATCTACCTAATTCTTTCGTTCCCAAAAGGGCGTTGAGCATTTCTGTAATGCACAGCTAGGGGTATAAAGGCAAGTAGGAAAGAGGTTCTTTTTGAAAATCTAGGATGAGAGAGAGAGACAGGAGCAGTGTGGAAAGCAGTGTGGTTATCCGGGAACTCCAGGCTCTCAGCAGGAGGCTTCACTGGTGCCCTCCAGGCCTGGATACTCCAGTGAGAGCCCGGACTGCACGGAGCCTGCGTGTCTTTGTGGGGCAGGTATCTGGTCCAGAAACAGTCAGTCACTGTGCATTCCTTAACTTAGAACTTCGCTCTGTCTCCCCAAATGACGCAGAGCAAACCGAGATGACCGTGTAAGGTGGGGAAATAAAAGCTTTTTTTTTTTTGAATGAACCTACTAAACAGCCCATTTATTTGTGGAACTGGCTGACCAACTTGCAGCCTGGAATTCAGATGCTCTGACGTTCATCGGTGGAGAAAGCAATCCCACCCATGTGGTCACATGGAATGTCCAACAAAGCACAAGAGTTTGATGTCTTGATTCAAAATGCCCCCAAGTATAATTTCTAAAAAAACCTCTAGTCATGTAATCCACATCAGGGCAAAAATCATGTGTTAATACAAAGGTTTGGGAACAAACGATTTGTTCTTCACGGCTGTTTCCGATCCAAGAGGCATCTGAGAGGCGCGGCCAATTTCACTCATGCATTTTAAAGGTCAAGTGTCACACATTATCATAATCACTGGCCAGGACTTTTCTTTAATTAAATTCTTAAGATGGTAAGTTTTTGGAAGAGTTGGCAGTGGTATCAATTCCTTCCTTCTGTGAGCATATTAGATATTCTGAGGTATTAAGCTAGAAAACTTCCAGAACCAGAGAGGGTACAAGGCCTGCAGGAATGCACACTTTCACAGCCTACTGTCTGCACTTAAGCTAAGGTGGCAACTTAAGATGCAGTATAGACAGCTCTGAAAAAATCCTCACCAAAGGGATCTCCCGAGTAACGATGTGGGAGATACATATACTTCATTCAGAGGGGAAAGCAGCGATTAACAGAACACAAGGCTCCAGCTTTCCTTCTAACACACCCACACTCCCACCAGAGAGGACATAGTATTTATCACTATGTGCTGTACTTGAAAGCCAGGAAGGCTCAGTCTTCCGGATCTGAGTCTGGGCAGGTGGTTCACTAGCCCTTAACCCTCCTTCCAACTGCCTTTTCCTTCAACGTTGACTCTGCTCACTGGGCAGCCAGAAAAATGTGGCTTGATTTCATTTTTTTCCTTTTCTGCATCTTTTTCTTTGTTTTTTTTTTTTGGGGGGGGGCGTTATCTGGAATAAATGTTTCTTACTTTCATTTGAAAGAGAAACACTTAACTGGGCATCTGTGGTTCACACTTATAATCCTAACTACTGAGAAGGCTGAGATCCAAGGATCAAGGTTCAAAGCCAGCCTGGGCAGGCAAGTTTGTAAGACTCTGTCCTCCAATAAATGACTCAGAAGAAGCTGGAAGTGGTGCTATGGCTAAAATGGTGTAACACTAGACTTGAGCAAAAAGAAGCATTGGGACAGTGCCTAGGCCGCCGTGAGTTCAAGGCCCAGGACTTGCAAAAAAAGAAAAACACTTAAATGTTGATGCCTGAATGCCTTAGCATCAAAGAACTTCACACCCAGGAAGCATCACACACAGGATGGTGTGCTCTTTAAGCATGGACTCACAAAGGCCCGCTGCAAGGATACCTCCCCTCAGACTGCAGCGACATGTTTTATACCCTGAAAAATAAAAGCATCTCTAAGACCATGTCACAGGTACGTGCTGTGTGTTACCTGGATACGGTTCAGCTCCACAACAGGACCGTGTTGACGATCTCGCACCATGGTGGCTTGCACTACTTTCCGGAATGCTGCCTCCTAAAACACGTCAGACAAAATTTAGAAGCTAAAGTAGAAAGCGTCGTGCGTGGAGAAATGATGTCATTATTGCTTAATATTCTCTGTTCCTCAAAGTCAGGCTTCTTGAAACAGAAAACTGTTAATTCTCCTTGTTTCAGTTGCAAGGTACCAGGGGAGCAGTTTGGCTGGAGAGGCCAGGCCTTTTAGAAGACCAAGGCACAGACAGAGCGGCGAGGAGGGGAGGGAGGGGGCGTGGCCAACACCTGCTCCCATTCTGGTCTCTGTTAAAAGCCTTGTGAGAAGCAGCATCAGGTCACAGCAGCACAGGTGAGGACAGCTGTGGGACCGCCAGGGACATACCAGCAAGAATACTATCAGGGCAGGGACATTCCGTGGTTGTAGGAATCAGTGGCAGCAGGAGCAGGGCTCTCCTCTGCATCCCTCAGGGGCCCAGGAAGCTAGAGCGGAAGTAAAACTAACAGGCCTGTGGCAGCAGGCTTAGATACTTCCTGCCCTGGGTCCTGGCCAAAAAGAGCTAGTTACAGTGCAAAAGAGTTTTAACACTGCAGACCAACCAGAGGCCCTGCTCTGGCAGCCAAGGGGTTAGGGCTGGATTCTGATTCAGGTTACCCTTTGTTTTGCTCTAGTTGTCAAAGGCCCAGAGTCAACTCCTCATGCCCACTGATGTCCACTGTCACTGCTTGTGAATACACAAATACCCCACTGAGGACCTGGACTAACTGAAGGAGCTTCATACTGACTCATGATTTCTATCTAGTTCTATCTGGGTAGAACAGGAAGACCCCAGCCAGATGGTTGGACTACTGTGACACTTGAACCTCTTTCTAAATCATCTCATCAAGCTGCTCACCCACCAGAAGCTTAACCACTTCTAGTAGCAGGGCTTCCCTTTCCTCTTTTTCTCTGGCAGTACTGGGATTTGAATTCAGGATCTCATGCTTCCTACAGAGGCACTCTACTACTTGAGTCATGCTCTTAGCCCTTTTTGCATTAGTTATTTTTCAAACAGGGTTTTGTACCTATTCCTGGGTTGCCTCTAATCTTCCTGTCTTCACTTACGGGCCAGCTAGGATGACAAATGTGCATCACCACATTTAGCTTTTATAGGCTGATATAAGGGTCTTATGAACTTTTTGTCTAGTAGGCCTTGAACTATTAATCCTTGCCTCTTGAGTAGTTAAGATGACAAGTTTGAGCCAGTACATCCATATTGGCAGGAAATGTTTAATTTCTTACTCAGACATTTTATTTCTAAAGGAACTCTAAATTACTAAAAATGTCGATGGGTTAAAACCAGTCTGGCTAATTTCAGATGTCCTCATTCCTAATTCAACTCCTACCCTTGTGAAATTATCTGCAGAGCTAGGTTTGGTGGCTCATGCCTCTAATTCCAGTTCCTTGGGAGGCAGAGATCAGAGAGGATAGCTGTTTTGAGACCAGGCCATGCAAAAAGGTAGCAAGACCCCATCTCACTAGATAAGCTGGGTAGCTGGGCATGCGGATGGGGATTTGTGATTCTAGCCACAAGAAAGGCTGTAGGTAGATAGATCACAGTCTCAACACAGCCCCAGGAAGAAACGTAAGACCACACCTAAAAAATAACTAAAGCAAAGAAGTTCAAGTGGAAGAATGCCTTTGTGGTAATGTGAGGCTGAATCCACACCCACTGCCAGCATGGGGGAAAAATTTCACAATACCAGCCACTGAGCTTCTAAGCTACCTCAAATAACTCTTAGCTCCCTCTGCTGGACATCTCTGGGAGAAGACATCACAATTATTTTTCCTTCTTGTATTGATGGGAAATTTGCCCTAAAAACTCATGGCCAAGCAGGCTGAGAACCGCTGTGTGAACAAAGGCTCAGCTTTATGGATTGCATGTCCCCCCCCACCCCACCCCTATTCTTTTAGGGAGATGGAAGAAAGAGATTGCAAAGGGAAAATGCATCACAATACTATTATGTTTTCAGACAAACTCCAAACGGGAAGAGATTTTTGTCTAGTTTTTAATACACAGTAACAGGCT